GCAGAACTGCCTCTGTCTTGGTATACCAAGATACCCCTTGCTGAATCACTGTCCACACTGGTGCTGACCAACCAGGCCAAAGAGCTGTGGCATCATTAAAAAAAAAACCAAGTCAGCAGTTTCTAGCCATAGCTGTGTGAACAATTAGAGCTGGTATCATTCTGGAAACAGCATGAGTGGGCTTTAAAATCCAAAAAGGTGCCACATTAGGCATTTTTGTCAGACTGAAGCATTATGGCCCTCCCTTTCATTATTTTTAACAGAATCCTCAGTGCAATAAGAAGAATACAGCAAGATATAAAGTGCAAGAATTGGACCAGATCCAGATGCTGGTAGAAACACTCACATAAAGCCTGCAGAATAAACAGACTGAGTAACTTAGGTTGACACCTGAGCAAAACTTCTGAAGGTTATGTGCACAGCCTTTTGGCTACTGAGTCTCTTCTGCACAGTGACCACACACACATACCACTCCACCCTTCCTTCCTGCAAGGAAGGAGTCATGGAATCAAAAAAACCCTAAAATTTTGATATTAATTAAGAAAATCCATGCCTTTTAACCCAAACTCTGAAAGAAAACAGAGTTTTTATTTCTATAGTTTTATTTTCCCCACACAGCCAGTCTAATGGTTGGAGCCAAGCTAAGTCCACTATCCTTCTTCCCCTTCCCTTATTCAGAGAAGCCTGTGGAGCCAGGCAGTGATGTTAAGCTCAGAACCTCTTAACTATGATAGCTTCCCCTATTTGCAGACACATACTTTCATGTCACCTCTAGCTCACACAGTGTCACACAGTATAAACAGGCTGCAATATCCAAATGTATGGAAGCCTGAAAGCAAAGACTCTTCCTAAAATACAATTCTGTTTCTCTGACCTTGACTTAATCTGCCTGAAAGGGTGACAGATCCTCCACATGCTGGCTACTGAAACAGCTGAAACCTAAAAACCCATCAGAACATTTTTTTTTTGTGGCGGATATGCCAAAAAAAAATCCTTGCAACCCTTTCCCATCTGCTTGTTGGGAAGTTATGATTCAAACAAAATGAACTGGCATAGAATAAAAGAGTTTAAATGTGGTTAGATATTTGCTTGTAATTGGCAGGTCAGTACAAACCCAAACAGTCCAGCCAGTGTTGAAAGATATAATAATGCCCATGTCAGCTTGAATCTAAATGCTGGAGAAGGCAGGAGCTACAAACTAGGTTCACAATGCCCCACCCTGAGGAACCTATGCTTTCCAAAAGTTCTGGCCCCATCCTTCAGCATAAGGGACCTATGCAATTGGTGGGGAGTTTTTCATTTTGCATTGAGCTGAAAATAATTGAAGAGTCATTTGCCAAGAGTTTAACATAATACTCATTCCCCTCCTTGCCCCATTTCATTTCAAAGACAATCTTTAACAAGACCAATTTGGTGGCTCAATGTTATTCGTCTGTATCACCATTTAACATTATTTTAATCACCGGGCCCACTTCTGGTAGAAGCATGGAGCACCAGGAAGACGGCTTCATTTGCTGTATCTGAGGAGAAAGCCCTTCATGTCACTTTTCTGACATAAGCATGAAGATTTAGTGGTGTATATAGATAGCTGCAGAAGACCGCTCAGAGCAATGAGTTAAGTAGCAACAACAATTTACATCTAGAGCAGGGGTGGCCAACCTGTGGCATGGGTAGCCTGTTTGTGCGGCTTGTGAAAGATCAAGAAGAGGAGAGGCAGCAGTGGCAGATAGGGCAAGGAGCAGAAAGCAGACAAGCAGCTTGGCCAGGGAGCATAGGGTTGTGAGCAAAAAGCTGAGCAGCAGACTGGGTCAGGGAAAGGGATCAGAGCAGCACTCAGGAAGTGTGGGTGGCAAATTTGTGGTATACCTGCCAAAAATGTTGGCCCCCACTGATCTAAAACACACACCAGAGATGCTGCCATAAAGCTGTGGTACTATTAGGCTGCTATTAGGCTGCATTTTAAACTCCTCATGCTCTTAAAAAAAAAATCCTTTTTAGATTTATTCTTGGATTATTAAATGAAAGTCTTCCTATACAAATGCCCATAAGGGTAAGTCTATATATTGTCAAATGTGTACAGCAGACAAAAACAGTTTCCCCAAGGTTATAAAGTAAATGTAGTCCTGCCACTTCACTCATTACCATAACCATTCGACCCCATAACCCAAGATACTCATATATTACAATGGAGGCAATAAGGGATAGGGTTAGTGACTTAGGTTTTTCATCTAAAACATTTACACCACTTGAGTCAGAATAGATCTGTTTTTTTGAGGAGATGACTGGGATCTAATCTGGAAGCACACATCCTCTTACTCCTCTACCAACACAATTCAACCATGACAAGCAAGGGTTACAGTTAAGTGATTGTAGAAGAAAATTCTCTCACTAAGGAGAAAGTTCTTGTGCAACACCAGTCACTACACATGCCCCTATATACTGCAAAACATCTGACCAGCAGTAACTACATCCGTCTTTGCCAAAAAGTGGTTTGGAGAGGAGGAAAAGATATGTAAACAAGATTTTATCTGTTATTTGGCTTTTTTTTTTTTTTCCCTTAAACGGTTCAACACTCAAAGTTCAAGCTAAATGTTGAACTGCATTATTGAGATGCATAAAATGTATATAGATTGGTTTCAGCTTTCCGAAAAACTAAATAGTGCTCAACTATACAGGGTTCAAAGCAAAATCCAAAATCATGGTTCCTTTTTTGTTCCTAAAATTCAACTGTAACAATTACTTGTGGGGCAACATGGGTGACTGCCCAGGGGGCCATGGTCAGGAGTGCCACACACACAGACACACACACACACACACACACACACACACACACACACACACACACACACACACACACACACACACACCCCATACTCAGGAGGAGCTGGACCAGGCATGAGCAGTCAACCCAGGACATTAGTTAGAATTTTCATCTACTGACCACGACAGCCTATGAAATCTGAAGCTGCGATGTATGGTCACCCTACTTAAAGTAAAGTATTACACAGAGCTTAGAAGCTGCTGCTGTCAGGGGCGGGAGGGGTGGCATTTTCCAAGCAGTCAATAGAGTTAAAGCAAACTGAAAGTCATCAAACTGGGCACCTAACCAATGTTCCCTCTAAGGAGCAGCAGTTCGTGAGCGCGCCGCCTCAGTCCGGCGTGGGACACTTATTGAAGGGGGCTGGAGGCCAGGGGCCGGAACCGAGAGGCTTTTTGGAGCTAATCAACAGGTCAGCTGGTAATGTCCCCCTGTTCCTTCCTTGGAAAAAGCAGTTTAAGAAGAGCTTGAACTAATGAGAGATGCTTTTGTTTTGTTAATGGGCTGATAAATGCTGTGTTAACAACTCCCTCCTGGCTCCCTCACCTGTCAGGTTTGCAGACAGTATGAAGAAACAGGAAGAGAAATTAAAAACCTCAGAATCATCAACAGATGCATGCACTGCACACATCTCCTTTGCCTCAGAGTGCTAGGCCAGGGTTGGTATCTAGCAACTCTCTCACCCCTTGAGCAGCAAGCAGGGAAAAGCCTGGGACTGCAGACAGGGTGCAGGTTTACACCCCTCCCTAATCAGAGCATCCTGCCAGGGCCTGGCCACACCCCTCACCCCCACAGCTCAGTTCTGTGGAAGGGAAGGGAAGGGAAGGGAAGGGACAGGAAGGGAAGGGAAAGGAAAGGAAGGGAAGGCTGCTCTAGCACAGTGGTTCCGAAACTTTTTTATACTGCGTACCGGCAAACTCACTCAAAGAATTCTGGTGGATAAGGTATAATCCACCAGAATATAACGTACCTAGTATAAAAACAACCTAACTTACATGTTTAAATTTAATTTTTATGTGGGGGGACAGGGGGACGGGAAAGGTTGCAAGGAGTTTTCCTGCAAGTAAAGGCACAGCTCCAGCCGGGTTGGGACACTACAGCCACGGACACCAGGGGACCCTGCAGGGGAGGGGGCTGTGCACGTGGTGGCCTGGGAGGAACCCAGCTGGGACTGCCCAGGAAGAAGGGGTTCCGCTGCCTTCCCTAGGAGCGGGACAGTGCACACAGAGCCGGCTGCCTCCCTCCTGGGACTGCCCCACCACCCAACTTTAACCCCACAGCTTACTGCTGGTGGTGGAAGCCGCTCACGTGGGCAGAAAGATGGAGGTTCGAGCAAGGGGCTCATGCCATGACCCAACAGGCAACCCTTCACAGCCCAATGGTTGGGAAACTCTGCTCTAGCATCTCCAGCTTCTAGCCTGAGCCACTGCAGGCATGTGCCAGCATTTCTCAGTCCAGAGGGAATGTCTGTCCAGTTGCAAACTGATTCAACCTAGGCAGGTTAGACTAACTTGAAAAGATTGAATCAATTCAGGCTCAGGCTTTTTGAATGCCTGTCCCTAATCTAAATCCCCAGGTAAGTGAGAAAGGCTTGTTTAGTTTAGCGGGTTTTAGTTAAACCTATGACCCTGTTGTATTAAGAAGAAGTGTGAAATGGATCTTTAAAAAAAACCTCAAACGGATCCACTCAAATGGATCTTCAAAAAAACAAACAAGCAAGCAAACAAACAAAACCCTGCCAGAGTATACACCCTAAACCTCAAAGGACCCAAGCTTGGGTTTTGCTGGGTTAAGCCTCACCAACAATCTGCCATTGATTCAGAACTCTTCCCTGTACCAGAAGCGTCTGCAGTCAGGTGCAGAATGCTGTTTGACAAACTGCAGTCAACATCTTTAAATAAAAGGAAACCAAAGTGCAAACATTGCTTTTACTTTACTTAGCCTGTCAAAGAGGTTAAAGAGGGCAGGGGAAGCAAAACTTGTTTTTGTAAAGCCATATATCAATCCAGACCATAACAATAGCATTGGCACTGAAATGTGAATGTGATGAAACGTGTTATATACACAATATCCCAGCTTGCAAAAGGAAACCAACGGCTGTATGGACCAGATACAGTAAATAAATAAGTGTAATCTCAAGTATGATGTTGCATTTGAAGCTCAAATTTAAAGTATTACTTACTCACACAGCAGAATACCATTTTCTAATCCAGACCGAAAATCTTTGTCACCAAAACCTCTGCCTGTTGCTTGCTGGAAAGGAAAATAAGAGAAAAACTTGTTAATTAGCACAGACATTTAAAAAAAATGACTTGTAATATTTATTTACAATTTCTAGGGGAAATGTAATGATCCAGCCCTTTGGGTATTGCCTGGATGGATAAAAATGTTTACTGTATCATGACATTCTTCAGTGCACTATTTAATACAAAGCATGAAAGCTTTTCTTCAAGACCTTAGAAGTAATTAGAGAAATTAGTCTGAAGTCACGAGCAGGATAGCACCATAGAGACTAACTTGATCAGAGAGGCATGAATTTTCATAAACAACAGCCTGCTTTGTCAGATGACATCAATGAACTCTCTATCTATTGCATCTGATGAAGTAGGCTGCTGCCTACAAAAATTCATGCCTCTCTGATCAAGTTAGTCTCTAGGGACACGTATACACGTGCAGAGAGCCTGCTCCAATGCACTGTAATTATATCACGTCGGAACAGACTCAGTTGAGTCTGCTGGAATATAGTATAGTATCAGACTCCATCGTCATGTGTATCAGCATCCTCGCGCTGAAACATGACAGCAGGGACGCTTTAGATAAAGCTCATTTGACGAGCTTTAGTTAAAGTGCCCCCACCAGCATTTTTCAGCACAGGGATGTTGATGCATATGACGCTCCGAGCACTTTAGAGCAGCTCTCATAGCTGCTCTAATTGAAGTGCTCCTGCGTCCCCTCCGCCCCCCCCACACACATTCCTGGAGCACATGTATACATGCCCTAGTTTACTGCCCTGCCCTACCTCCTACTTAGAAAGATAGAAATATAAATTAAGCCATTCTCCAAAGTTTACCATGAGACAAGTAGTGTTTTAGCCTTCAGAATAAGTGTTTAACAATTTAAGAGAAAATTAGCATATCCACACAAAACACAATGTTCTTACTTTACATTTCCCACCTTCATCACCTCAGAGTGTTTAAAACAAATATATATGTGCAATTGGACCTGTTGCAATTGCTGCTGGCCCCACAGATCTGGCCTAGGCAGAGCCCTATGGTCCAGATCCAAACTGGGGCCAAGGTCAATTTTGACAAGTCTGAGATCTGGAAATTATTTTATTTATATGCAATTTGGACATGTATTCATTCATTAGGCAGTGGAAACAAAACTGAATTAACTGACCAAAAAGCCATCACATGAGACTCTCCAATACAGGATGGTTTCAAGCCGTAGCATTATGCTACATTTAACTGCAACATATGTGCGTGTTTTACTCAGATTCTTCAAATGCAGTGTCGCACGGCACTGAAGTGCCTGCTCCTAGGAAAAAGTTACAGGTGCTGGTTGCCGGAGCAACCGCAGTTCGGTCAGCTGACCGGAAGGGGGCAGGGCCTGGCCTATATAAATAGCTTAGGCTGAGGCCAAGCAGGCAGTTCCCCACTAACATCCCAGGGAGAAGGAGCTCTGCTGGAGTATGCAACCTAGAGCAGCTTGAGGGCCTGATCAGCTTCGGCTTGAGGACTGGGAGGAGAAAGCCCTGGTTGGGATTTGACTGATGAGTAGCCAGAGGGCTTAGAGTTTACATTTAACCAGGTGGCTTAGTTCCTGATTTGTAGCCAACTGGCTTAGGGTTTTGCTTTGTGGTTACACCAGAGGACCGGGTGAGGCTGTAGGGGTTGGAGAAGGCCTCATAGGAACGCCCCAGTAGCGTGGGGGTTCCTGGCGCCAGGGAGGGCGCCATGTTTTGGGGTGTATCGACCCCAGCCCCTGTGTGGGCAGTGTCAGGAGGGAAAAGCCCAGAGTGGGTGCAGGCGAGAAGCCCCAGTGGGGCGCAAGACCCGAGAAGGAGGTCTGGGGGGGAGACCCTGGTGCCAGAGAGGGCACCACATCTAGGGGTGCAGTGACCCCAGAGCCCTGAGAAGGGGCACAGTGCACTGGGGGCCAGGTAAGGCCGAGGCCGCCTGAGCCGTATAGGAATCATAGACCTGAGGAAGGGATTTAGGGGCCAGGCACGGCTACGGCCACCTGAGCCCCAATTGTGAGGAGCACCAGAGTGGGCACCAGTGAGAAGCCCAGAGGGTGCTTGCGTTTAGCCCCAGGGAGGGTGGCGCACACAGGACTAGAAGCCCCAGGGGGGGCAATTTGGGGGCCAGGCACAGCTACGGCCACCTGGGCCTCGATTTGCGGGAATCGCGGGGCAAGGCCCTGGCGTGGGCAAGAGAGCCCTAGTGAGGGCACGATCACGATGAAGGCCGGAGAGCGTCCACGGGGAGCACGGAGAAAGGCCCCAGGGTGGGCGACTGAGACAAGCCCAAAGGGCATCTGCAAGGGCGCAGGCAACAGTAGGAAAGCAAGGGGGTGCCATGAGGGCACAGCAAGGGATTTTGACAAGACAACGTCTGGTACATCTGAGAGACTTGGGGCATGGTATTAGGGGTGGCAGGAGCCACGCGTAGCCCTTGAGGCTTTAATTCACGGGGTCCGTTAAGTCGGGGCACTGACCGGGATACATCGGGGTACCGTGTCCAAGGGGGTAAAAGGCAGCCTCCCTTAATACTTCTGTCATCAAAGACATGGCAGGCGAGAACAAGGGTGCATGGACACCCACTTAGCATGGTAGGGGGCACTAGGAGAGATCACGGCCACTCCTGGGTCCCCGCCCCGTGACATGCAGTATTAGAAAAACAACTGAAAGGGAAGTCAATAATGCACTAGGAAAGGTGGGAAGGTCTATAAACTGTGTGCACTTACAAAAGAAAGTGGAAATGAATCAAGTGTGGAAAGATGCTGCCTAATTTAGAGATTCCATTTGCTCTGTGGAAGTATTAATGAAAGGGAAAAGAAAACAAGACTGCACTTTTGGAAAAAGAAGCTTCTAATACTTCCCTATAAAGGGCAAACCAACTGGTGGCACTGAAAGGAGCAGTCATCCGGGCTCCAATTCTGCCACAGAAAGGTCACTCACTCACTCACACCCCTACACTGTCACATCTAGTTGGTCTGTGGATGCTGGAGATTGGATAAGAGATAGATATATAGATATTCACACTCATGGAAATCACCCCATAAGCAGTTCGTATACTTCACTGCCTGAGACAGAGGCAGGTCAGCTCTAACTTCAGGTACTCAGACCGGTTTTACTCCTTTCAGAAACACTTTTGAAACCATAATAAGTGAACAAACCAAACCACAATAAGTAAAACAAACAAAAATAAAAAACTGCTCTGTTCTCCAGGCATTGGACAGAGGCAATTGTAGCTCTGAGCTTCTCCTTTTTCAGCACTCCCTCCTGAAGTTCTTAAGCATATTTGTGGCTCCATCCTGATTAGCAGGTTATCACTTCCAGCTGGCCACTAGCCTCCCAGCCAGGCACACTATCAATTTTTGACTGTCTGCGGCTGGGTTTCAAGCCCTTGAGGGACTGAGCAGCTCCTTACACACCTCACTACCAACCCCATAAAATCCACAAGCCAGCAGTGAGTATAATGTTGTGATAGTGTTATTTAGCTTTAGGAAAATAATGATAGATGCCAATCTGTCTACCTTTTAATTTGGAAGTACAGGGCACTGCATGGCCATTCATGTTTGGCCACTCACATACACATTGGCAATCCCTCACAGGTGAGGATGATTGTCTCCCATGATTGCTTTATATGACTGATGAGGCTGATCTGGGATCACCAGACTTTGCTGCAACTTGGGCACATGTTTCTGTGAGGGCAACTTGAAGTGCCTCCTATACACTGTCCATGTCTCAGCTCTGTACAGCAAGGTGGGAATAACAACGCTTGATAAACCATGAGCTTGGCTTTGGGACTGATATCCCAATCTTCGAACACCCACTTCCTCAGGCGTCTGAACACTGTACTTGCACTTTTAAAGGCAATGCTGGATTTCTTCATCAATATTAGCCTTTTGTGAGAGATGGCTTCCAAGGTACGTGAAATAACATCCTCCAGAGTTTCGCTGTGATTCTGAATTACCGGAGCTGGGGACTGCTCATTAAGAGCTTGGTGATGGAGGACCTTAGTCTTCTGAATGTTAACCATCAGTCCCATTTTCTTGTATGCCTTGGTAAAGACACTGACAACTGTCTGAAGGTCTGCTTCCAAGTGAGCACACACTACAGCATCATCAGCGTACTGGAGTTCAATGACTGAAGTTGAGGTGGTCTTGGTTTTGGCTTGGAATCAGTTGAGATGAAACAGCTTACCATTCACTCAGTAGTTAACTCCACTCTGACTGGAAGATTGCTGGTGCTCAGATGTAGTATCGCAGTACGAAATATCAAAAAGAATATTGGAGTGATTACACAGCCTTGCTTAACTCCCATTTTAACCTCAAAGGGACCTGTTATAGATCCATAACTGAGAATCACCACTCATATACCATTATGGAGCAGGCAAAGAATGGTGACAAATTTTGGACAGCAAGATGATCCCTCTGTAATTTCCAGAATTGGACCCGTCTCCCTTCTTGAAAACAGTCACATTCATGGTGTCACTCAGGTCATTTGGGATTTCCTCGTCATTCCAGCTCCTTATGACGAGGGCATGGCGCTATGATACCAGTTCCTCATACCACTGCTGCAAGATTTTGGCAGGGATTCCATCAGCTCCAGATACCTTGTCATTCATCTACTTGATGGCTTTCTTCACTTCATCAAGGGTGGGAGGGATTCTGGAAACAACTCTGACTAGATGTTGCAGGATACAGTTGAGACACTCTCATCAACAATAGATTCTTGATCAAAAAGGTCTTCAAAATGCTTTTTCCAACAGGGAGGTGATGGCTCCCCTTTCTTTAACCAGGTCTCCTCCATCCTTAGGTCTCAAGGGGGTTGATCCCCGAGAGCTCAGACTGTCAATGGCTCTGTTGGCACTGAAAAAACATGCATACTGTGGATGTCAGTGAGATGTTGAATCTCCTTCGCCTTGTCTTCTCACCATCTGGTTCTTCATATCACAGGTCCTCCTTTGGACTTCTGCCTTAGCTCATTGATAATTCAGTATCTTTTGCTTGGAAGTGATGTCGTT